ACTGACCAGCTTGGAAAGTCATCATAGATGAACTTAACATACCACCCACTGTATTCGCATCACCCACTGTCCATGTACTCTAAAAAGCGGGAAAGGTGTGCAGGGTGACACACGGACCGGAGGGGTTCCGGGTAGCTAACCTCTGACACATCCCAGGGTTGTGATCTTGTCCAAGAATCACAAACTCCGTCTCGTGAAAGGCCATCAGAGGGGTTACTCTCAGAGTCTATCCACTCGATCCAAACACGAATTTGAAATCGTTGAAATAAGAAGTGGGCCACCTGAACCAGGGTATGGACATCGATCTGGGAGCTGGAGCCACGGATAAGTGAAGCCACAGCTGCTTCATTATCGATAAACCACAAGATATCCTGGTGTCGCAAGGTGGCTCCATGAAACCAAGGTACTAAAAGTCCACAAAGAGTTTCACCTGGATAAATTTGTTGCGTGCGGGCAGTCCAGGACTGAATCACCTCCTGGGGGACAACACAGGTCACCCCTTGTGGGCGAGGGGACTGGCCAAAAATAACCCAGCCAACTCGAAGGACCTCATGTTCGAAGGACGCATCCGAGTAAACTAGGATTGGTTGGCGCGGGGACGCCCTGACAGCAACATCTCGAGGTCCTGGGCACGTGACCAACTCGACCAACAGCCGGAGGGTAACACCATCCTCAGGGGAGAGACTAGGGGAGTCAGCATGCTGTAAAGCAGTTAGCGTAGGTCCAGCGATCCTACCTGCTTGGCCTGCGCACATGCTAAACATCCAGTTGAGGTCACCTCTGAGCTTGCCAGCGTCGTCTGGAGACAGACTGTTGGTAGCTAGAGCAAGGTGAAGTTTAGCCAATACCTTTCTCTGGGTGGTGAACTTGGGTTGGAACCGAATCGATCCCAAAGAAACAAAATCTCCAACATGTACTGATGTACCAAGGTAGTGGCGGTTCCGCCCAGGAGCAAATGATTTGGACGCTTGCGGTGGCGCTCCCATAAGTTGAAAAACAAGCTGGAGTCCGCGCTGCGAGACATCCGCATGGTGAACAAAATCAACCGCAAGTTCATCATCAAAGTAAGCAGCACAGAGAGACAGGGTACAGCGTCTGGCAATCGCGATACCCAACTGGGGAAATCGGTTGAAGCTGACAACTGCACTCTCTAGTCCGTAAGCCAGCCCGTACATGGTGGTAAACCGCCAGCCTTCGTCAGGGACGAAAACGGCCACATTGGAGAACCGCAAATGGTCGTCTTGGACTGGCAAGCCTCGATAGGCATCAGGCAAATCATCTGTGCCCAATCTCAAGTCTAGCCAATCGGGAGGGTCGGACCAAAGGGTCTCCAAGGTGGTATTGACCATGCGAGCAACGGAGGCAACAAAATCAACGTTAACGGTCGAAATGGTCTCCTGCATGGAGGTATGCTTGTTATGGCCACTCTTGCGGGCATTATCAATGACCCTCTGTTTTCCATCAGGCTGAATAATAAGAAAGCGCTCCACTGCGCGCCAGCCACCAACGCCAAATTGATCATTCATTTCCTGCATAGTTCGGAGTGGGCTGCAAAAACCCTTAATGATCTCATCTTGAGTAACGGCCAAAATTTCCGGGGCGTGCAGGGGGGGTCGGCTACGGATCAACCGCTGTACCTCCTCTTCGGCGGATGGACCCAGCCAATCAGCCAAAGGGAGTTTATCAGCTTGTTGGATACCTCGGAACACCCCAGACGGCGGAAGGGACCCAACAATAGCGAACCCCTGGACAAGTTGGCGGGCCATATCACGGTCCGGCCACCGCAGGAGGCATGCCATGGTTGCAACAAAAGCAGGCTTTTTAACATGCGCTACTTTGTTGGCACTAGTACACCTTACCGCCGCAAGGCACGGGTTCAGGATCTGCACAGCTTTTTCCACAGCCTTCAGAGTATGCCGCAGCCTTTGGCTGTAAACTGGGAGAAACTGCTGCCAGACACCCAGTGCCTGGACCACAAATGAGACGTCGGGTTCAGGCCAATCATGAGGATGGAAAGGTGACGGGAGTTGCATAGCCTGCTGCACATGTTCATCTTTGCCCAACCCCGGGGGCAAAAGATGATCCAGTCCTTTGGCCGAGGAGCTGGGGTAGCGTTGTCCTGTGAGCCCAGCGAAGATAGCTGTCCGCATACGCCCCCAAATAGGGACTGGCCCCAACACTTCCCAAGGCTCTTGCCGGAGCCGCCTCCACATAGGGTAAGCTTGCAG